GGGGCTGGCAGGGACTCCCCCCCAGTCCAGGGGAGTGTCAGACAGGGGCTCTGGCCCCGGCCAGCCCCTCACGGCACAGTGACAGCCCAGGGTGTCCCCACGGGATGTCCCCAGTCACTCACCCGTGCTGGAGGTGTCAGAAGTTCTGCTGTCCCCCCCAGCACAGGGCACCTCCCCGGGTGACTCCTCCTTCATGTCAGTGAACTTGGACACGGAGCCTGTGCAGGAGAGACCCCTCAGTGCCCCCCAAAATGCCCGGTGAGTGTCACTGGGGGACTGGCACCGCCAGCAGGCCGGGGGCTGCCCCGGGAGCTGTGGGGGCTGTGGGGCCGGGGCACAGCGGATGGGGGGCTGTGGGGCAGCAGGGCCGGGGGATCTGGTGCCTTTATTCCTCACACCCGCGGATGCACTCGCGGCCCTGCCCTGCAGGACGGGCTCTGCCAGGGGGCTTGGGCTGCAGACCCCTGGCTCAGCCCCCAGATCCCTGACCAAGCCCCCAGACCCCAGCTGAGCCTCTGAACCCCCAGCTGAGCCCCTGGGCCCCCTGCTCAGCCTCCAGACCCCAGCCAAGCCCTGGACTCCTGCCGAGCCCCCGGACCCCTGGCTGAGGCTGTGGACCCTCACCTCAGCCTCTGCCCCCCGGCCGAGCCTCTGGACCCCCGGTTCAGCCTCCAGCCATGCCCCCAGCCCTGTGATACCCCCAGCGCGGTGCCCCCCCCGGCCCCTCACCCAGACTGGCCACCAGGTCGTAGTTGTCAGCCATGACCTCTCGGTACAGCGCCCGCTGCCAGGGCAGGAGCTCTGCCCACTCCTCGGGAGAGAAGTAAATGGCCACCTCTTCGAACGACACGTCGGGGGGCACCCCCTGGGGGGACAGCGGGGGGCTCAGGGGGGCCGGCAGCACCGACCCCTCGCTGGGCACCCCTCGCGGGTCACCCCAGGACTGCAGCACCTCCCGGGTCCCAAAGGGTCCTGTCCTGGGGCTGCTCCGGCCCCCACAGTCAGCACAGGGGGCACTGCCAGGGCTGTGGGGAACCCCGGGAGGAGCGGGGACCCCCCGGGCCCTGGGGCTCCCTGGGGCTGTGGGGGGGACTCATGAGAAGAGCAGGGACCCCCAAGGCTGGGGGGCTTCCCGGGGCGAGAGAAGTGGGGTCCCCTGGGGCTGTGGGGACCCCCCGGAGGAGCAGGGACCTCAGGGGCTGTGGGGACCCTAGAGATTAGTGGGGACCTCTGGGGCTCTGCAGTTCCCTGGGGACCCCCGGGAGGAGCTGTGGGGACCCCCCAGGGCCGTGGGGACCCCCGGGTGCCGCCCCCCGGTCTCCGTGAGCCCGCCTTCCTCCTCCCGTTAACCGCGCCCGGGACCGCCCCGCCCCGTCCGGCCCCCCGCCCCCTCCGCGGGGACCCCCGGAGCCCCCCCACCCCGGCACCGGCCCCTCCGCCGGGACAGCGGGACCCCCCGGGCACCCCCCGAGCCCTCCCGACACTCCCCGGGCCCCCGCTCACCCTCTGCATCTCCGGGCGGGGCCCGATGGCGGCGGCGGAAGGGGCCGGGCTGGGGGGCGGCACCGGGACCGGGGGGCACCGGGACACGGGGGCACCGGGAGGGGGGGGCACCGGGACACGGGGGCACCGGGAGCGGGGGGCACCGGGAGGGGGTTGGGGTACCGCGGACCCACCCCCCGCACCCACGGGCCGGGGGATCCCCGCGTGGTTTGGGGGGGCTCTACCCGGGCGATGGCGGCCGCGATCGCCCACCCCGGCAGCATCGGCCACCCCCCAAGCGGGGCTGCTCGGGGACACCCCCCCCC